TTTGATATTCAAGCATTAACAACCAGCTGGAGCATTATCAGCCTCAACTGGCCTCCCACTTCTGGAGGGAAAAGCACCAGGCTCTTTCAGCACAAGGCAACATCAAGTACAGCTGTTTGAGATAGGACTAGTCAAGCATTGCATGCATGCATGCAGCTGTATTGTTCTTCCTCACCCAAGCTAGCTCACTCAGGGCTCTTGAATTTGCCATGTTTACATACCCCAGATCATTGTCATTTTGTATGACTTCTAGTTAAACACTTTTTTATCTTCTTTCTTGTATCAAAGTACTCATTACACTGTTTTATGACAGCCTAGTGATTGAAGAACTGCTTCTTGGATTAGGAAATATGGATTAGGAAACAGGGCACGATGAAAGCTAGTGGAAATAATCCATCTTTGGTTAATTCTGCCAGCTATTCACCCATGGCCTCTTCTAGGTCTGTTTTTTCTACAATAATCATGGATTACTGCTGATACAGTATTATCTGTAGCATTTTAGATCATTCCTTTGAGACCTCAAATGACTTTATATTCTCTCATTTTAATTATATATACACAGTATAATGTAGGGATTTGGAGATAAGAAGGCATGAGGCCTTGGGCTGCTTTATTACATAAGAAAGAAAAAACACTGATTTATTTATTTATTACCTAAACAAGAACACTGAAAAGAAATAACAGTAAAAATCTGTGCCCAAGTGTGACTGGTCTTCGGATCCATCTGTACACACTCCATTGACTGTTCCCATTCTGTTCACGCACAGCATCTCAGGCTTTCCTAGCTGTGGACCCCCCCAGGGCTCTGACCTGTGATCAAAGAATAGTGAAAAGAGGCACAGAGAAAAAATATCTGTGCTTTCCAGAGAGTGTAGTGGGATGCTGTGTGTACTACAGATTGAATGACCTCTGTAGTTACAACTTCCTTCATGGTAATTCTATATCTTTGCATGCCATGCCAGCAGAATAATCTTCACCATCATAGTGACCTCTGGCATATCCCTTTTTCTACATGTGGTTCTGTGCACATAGCTGAAGAAAACCTCCTCTCACCATCAAGCTCATCATGCTCTCTGGAAAAACAACTGAAATGCACCAAGAAGATGAAAAAAAAAGAAAATTAGGAGAAAAAGAAATTAGCAACAATACTGAAAAAGTATGTATTCAAGGCCTCTACCCCAATCCTGTGTAGTGTCACCCAGAAAATAGGCTGCAGAGCAGATGCTGATTTAACAAGAAAAGAAACCAAAATTATGTTTTACAGGTATGCATGGCAGGGAACAAGGGAGATGTGAGGACCTGCTTGTCATGTTGCTATTGCCTAATTAAAAACCGGTAGTTATTACTCTCATTAGGGATGCTTAGTGAAGCCAGTTCAATGCTGTTTTCTGAAACTGAAGTACTTTGTTCTGACTTCACATCACCTGTAAGTGCTAGACAATCAGATCTAGAAAGCCACAGATGTACCATTCAGAAGAGCCTGACGTCCTCCAGATACTACACATGAAGCAGAAGTCAAACCCTCAGAGATGGCCACAGCATAGAGGAACATCACTCTTCTACTAAGGTAAGCAACTCTCTCAGTTTAAAAGATTACACAAACTGTTCAAAAATCCATACTCACTGTTTGTGTTGCGATCTGCTGATATAAATTCAGAGGCCCAATCATTTGAGCAAAATAAGTTAAATCCTTGCCTATTTCTCATCACAATTTTCTAAAAGGCATTGGGAAAACTGCCTGATTAGATTAACTATTAAAAAGTGTGTCTTTAGTCTTTCTCAAACACGTTTCAAACATGTATGGCCTCACTGCCCTGCTGAGGAAGCAGTATTTCCAAAAATAAGGACAGATCTTCTAAATCCATGTTGACACAAGTCAAGAAGATGAGTGAAGAAGGTTAAGCATTGAAGTGCATTAAGATTTGGACTTTGTTGGCACATAGTCTGTTATTACAGAAACAAGACAGCTCAGGGCGACAACCACCACGGCCACTGAAGTTAACTTGTGAATTGCAATCCTAACACCAGCTGACTCTAGAGAAAACAGTGATCAAGGACCACACAGAACCTCCTTCTGCAGCGGGAAGCGGAAATTTTGTCCTGAGTCCACAGAATTCCTTATTTAGCAATAATACCTCAAAGTGCCTTAACATCCAGAGGCAGGCACTGATTTTATTTCAAAAGCATAGCTATGGAAGCGATTGTTAATTAAAACGAGGCAAGATGAAAGTAAGCAGCTGGAATGGTACGACGTGACTGACAATATTCACAGGCGTCCTTAGCAGTGGAACGAAATGCAGTGACAGGCAAGCGTGTGGCTCGATCCTTTGCCCAAGGCACTCCTGGCCTCTGAACACACGGTGTGCACACATTTTCATGCTTTTATGGGTTTTTTTTCTATAATATCACAGACAGACGGATGACTTCAGCTAGGTCATTCTCCATCTTAATTTCCTGAAAATGGTTCCACCTGTAAAACCACGGACTCACTCAAGGATTACAGTCCAGCCCAGCCTACCAAAGGTAGGCCAGAAATGAGGCAGCAGTAATCCGAGGTGACAAATACTTAATTTGCTTCCTGCAAGTGATGTCTAAATCCTGAATAGTATTTCTATACATGTTATACTATTTTCACATATGAAGTAGAAATTGAACAATTTATCCCATACACACACAGCTTCACGTACAGAATAGATGTTAATTTTTTAATGTCAGATATTGCCATGAAAGAGCAGGGAAAAGAGCTCTTTTTAACATCTGTACATCTCTGATGTCTCTAAGGTACTTCATTAAAGATTTATTCCTATAAAGCTTTTACAAAGACTGCATCGACAATAATCCACATGGGGGATTTAGACAGGGTTAATTAATATTTTGAACCAAAGAGTAGTATGACAATATAACAGAATAAGTCTTACTGTATCTTAATTTCATTATCTAAATGGGGACTACAGACACCCATCAGATTTCTACCCAGTTGAAGAAGCAAGAGAGCAGCTCTGTGATGTGCTTAGGCACTGAGAGTAGCAGAAATGCAAAGCACCATTACTCTGACTCAGCTGACTGTATATACAGCTATGAAGTACAGATGGCTTGTAAGTCAAAGGGTGACAATATTATTAATTTATTTTCAAATCATCTTAAGCAGACACTGCAACAAATGTGATCATCCAGTGAACAGAGCAGAGCAAAAGAAAAAAAATAAAATCTACCAAAAAGCCAACTAGCTGTCAAGGTTTCATGACTGCCCTCTGTCAAATACTAATGGACCTTTTTCTTCTTGAATTTCACCAACCGTTGCAATTCAAGAAAAAAATTTAACTCAAGCCAATTTAGAGCGTCACCTTGAATCTGACCCTCTACTTCAGACGATGAAGCAAATTCTCAGAGGTGAGTTACATGACTACACTTCACTTGCACATTTCAGGAGCATTTCCTATACTTTGTTACTGTGTAAGGGACCTGGGCAGAGACAAAGCAAAGCTTCCCAAATAGCAACACTGGGAAACTATAAAGCTCATCAGATACAAAAACGTGTCATGTGCACAAGGTGAACATATGAAAAGAGAAATTATTTTTCCTTTTTAAGGTCTTAATAGTATTAGTTTTAACAAAAGACCGTAAAATATTTTTCATGCAGCAGCTTGACTTTAAAAATTAATTTGAAATGTTCCTGCAAAGTCTAAACCATACTGACAGCACAATACACTTCAGTGAGCTAATTCTAGGTGCTTTGCATTTCAATAAAACTTCTCCTGGGAAGGTATCCAAGTAGTTAAAAGAAAAAAAAAATCAGTTAATTAAGGCTCTTGAATGAGGAAGGTCTATACAAAGTTTATACTCTGGCTCATAAAAAGTAAAACGTTCACCAAGGACATACACTAACAAATAATGAAAATCCCTTGACTTCCTGGTTTACAACCTGTTCCCTCAGCTAAACAGTTTCAGTATTTCACCCAAGATAAACAGCTATAATATGAACTGCATGTTCCAGCTGCTCTATGCAAACTATAAAGTTACCATTCAGCAGAATGCAAGCTGTTCCTGAAACTTTCAGTATGAGACCAGGGATAATGGGATCACTCCCATTCATGAAGTGACTCGTGAGCGTAAGAATTTGCAGGGCTTGGGGAAAGCACTAATGAAGAACTCAAGGCAACAAGTGTTCAGGTGCTCCGTGCTTCTGCAGCGTGCAACTGTTAGTCAGCAGTGTAACCTGCTAACAACGTGGTAAGGCATACACACAGTCCTGCACTGCTGGTGCAGAGGTCAAAAGAGCTGTTACTTCCCTACATTTTTTTGCCCCAAGTACATTCCTTGAAAAATACCCAGAGAAACAGAAGATGCACAATGGCTAGTAGGAAGGACAAAACCCCCATTCGTTAAGTATGACTGACCTGTTGCATAGGTGTGTTTTCACAAGAAAGGCTGGAAAATTCCAATGTAAGCAACAAGACTACTTAACCTCCTGAGCAGCTGTACGTTAAAAATATAAACATACTGCACCTCTACATCAGTTTGCTAAAGGTCTATCAGTACTTTAAAAATACTACCTTGTTTGTGGTCCTAAAGACACACACAAGAGAAAATTCAGTGAGGCTATTCATGTTCCTGTTGAAAGAGTTAGGGCCATTGCTGAATTAAACTTCACAGCTTATTTCACACAAAAAAAGAAAAACTAAGACACAAAAGGAACTTGCTCAAGACCACAATCCCTGCCAAGGTAAGAGTCAGGATAATCCTTGCCCAGTCATTTGACCATTGCCTCTCTTTCTGAAAGTTCTTCAACAGCATCACTATTTCTCCGTATGTTACAGAAAAGTCCCCTTAAACTGCTTTTAAAAATCCACAGGTATCACAATAAATAAAAAAGCTATCAGTAGTGCAAATGTCTGCCTACTCTAGTATTTTAGCTTAAGTAGTGAGAACTCTATGCAACAAACTGTCTTATTTTGAACTTGTTAACGATGTACATTAAATGCAAACAAACAAAAAAATACCTGGTGAGCTCTTCTTTGATCTTCAAGGGTTCATGTGGGTAGAATTTCACTCTAAAGCACATGGTATATGGTGGATGAGCTGAAACATTATAAAGAAAAAGCATGAGAACAGTAGCAAACAAACATCGCTTCAGCCACTCTGAAGGAGTGGCCTCCAAGAGTCTTACAAAGTAGCATGTGTGATGGTTAGCTCTAAAGCATCAGGCACGGATTAAAAGAAAACCAATAAATAACTACACACACATATGAAAAGAATAGAACACATGACAAAGAAGGCCAAAGCACGTGCAAAATACAGCTAACCCATGCAAATCAATTTATAAATTGTTTTGCACCTCACAAGACTTATTGCTTGATCCAAGAAGTACAAAACACATTTGGGCTGCTTTTTTTTTTTTTTTTTTTGGCAATTGTAAACAGGAAGCAATTGCATCTTGTCACAATGAGATACAAAGGTGTTACGTATATTTGTTATTCCTGATAATGATAATGCTTAGACTACAAAATGGAAGAAACCGTTAATTAAACTTAGTTAATGAAGCTAGAGACCACAGAAGTGTTTCTGTTTCCAGCATTTAATAAGACTACGTTACCTACTCCCAAGCTATGGTATCAATACCAGGCCTTAAGTACAATACTTTCACACTTCTCAAAAAAGAAAAAAAAGGAAGGAAGAAAGAAAGAAAATCACAGTAACAGGAATGGGAGCTTTATTTCCCATTGTTGTATCTTTGATAGCATTCAAGATATTATCTAATCCTAGGCCAGTGATCTTTCGGTGATTACAAGAGGGGCAGAACGCAAATCAACGGCTATTATTCTAATCAAAGAGGCATCTTGTGATAACCATGTTAGGATAAAAGACGTGTGAAAACCAAGTAGAAGGCTTAAAAATATCACATCAGGCACAACACACAGGTAGGCTATCTGTAGCCTACCCTGAGCCTACCCTCAGAGCTATCTGTAGCCAGGTAATGTTCATGTTTTAAATTCCAGTTCAAAGTGAGAAGGAAAATATCGCATCTTCAAAAGGTAAATGGTGTGGGGAAAAAACCACCTATATTACACAGGCCACGGTAACTGGCAGGCCTGCTGATCACACCGAGAGAGGGCACGAGGATGGAGCAAGCACCAAGGCAGAACTGCTGTCCAAGCAGCAAGGGCCTCGGCACTGTAAGCAATGCAAGGGTCCTCTTTACGAAAATGTTTACCAGCACGGCCATTTTTAGATGGACAGCAATAGAAAAAAAGCTGAGATTTCAAACAAAATGGGAATGTGTGATCACTGTGCTCATTTGGGAGTGTCCTACAGACCTGAGTGCAGCATTATAATCCTTTTATTAAAATATTTAACTACAAAATTAACTTTCTGCATACATTTACACTAGTACTCAACATTTATAGACCCTTACTTTTAACAAGTTGGGGTTTTGTGGTTTGGTTTTGTTTTGGTTTTTTAAAAGAAAGCATCCATGCAACTTTAATTCATAGTAAAGTGCAGATCTATAATATTCTAGTTAGTTTTAAAAGTCCCTTAGTCTTAATGTATACTCTGCACACAGTCAACCTAACGTTCCTAAATCTTGAAGAGATGGTGCTTTTATAGGAGGAAAAGAAGGGAAGGCAGAAGAAAAGAACAAAGAAAATTACAGAGAAAATGGAGGAAGAGAACAGGTGAAACAGAGAATCACATTTTAGTTATTGTAATCTATAACAGTAATCACTAACCGACCAAAACATTTCACTGTACCATCTCCTCAAGCCTACTAGCTCACTGGCTTGTATAAACTGCACGTGGAAATTAGTTCAACAATCATGATATTCTTGAAGCTACTCTGACTGCAGCATTTACCTGTATGCTGCAGTTTTTCAGAAACACATTTCTGGATATCACGTAGTTCCACGTCATGTACCAAAGCAACAGAAAAAAAAAATGCATTACACCTTTTGTTATGGTTGGTATCTTTTGGAGGGTTCAACTGCTTTTGAAGATGAAGGAATATTTTCTCCTTTCAAGACCTCATGTTGCACTTTTTGTAAGTACAGTCAGCCTCAGCAAAAACTGCTGATTTCACATTTTTTCACTTGTTTAAATAACTACTCATTTAAGACACAAGGAGCAATGTCAGAAGAGATGGGGATGGAGAGATGAAAAATATAGGAAAAAAGCAAGCAAGGAAACAGTAACAGAAACAAACAAGAGGAAATGGAGAAAGGAAAACAAGCCTTAAGTGTTCTCTAGGCATGGTTTGAACATGCAAGCTAATCAAATCCGGAGAAGCCCTCTGAAGGCAAGAGAAACACTCAGACTGCTTTCTCTGGGCTTTGGCATCTTAGATGCGACTGCAGCATTGTCTTACAGTGACTGGAAATAGGCTGCAAAACCGAGGACCCTGTTATGTCCTCCCTGCCCTGTAATGGCAAACTAGAAGGTAAACTGAATTCAAAGTCCCAGAAAGGAAAAAAGCCATCCAGAAATGCACTAAGGAGTCATGTTGCCTGGACAAAGCAGAAGATAACATAAGTAATGTTAAATGGTTCTGCCTCTTCTCAATAGCCTTCTTAAAACTATGCAAGGGAGAAAAACTTGCACTTTCAGAATACAGTTCCACTTGCAAAACGTGATAGAAAAGCCAACCTGTATTAAATGAGCAAGAGCTCTTCCTCAGCAAAAAAGGACTTTTAAATGTCCTGGCAGATTTAGAAGTAGTTCGTGCTTGAAATAGGGATGCAGAAATAAGAACTGCTAGTGCACGGCTCTGCAGGGCCCCAGCTAGTACAAGCCTAAAGCAAGACCCTAAAAATGTACCGAATTTTACCCAAATTTTTGGATGTCAATGAAACAATTGAAACTTTGGCTGTGGTAAATAGAAAGAAAAAAAATATAAAAGTTACAAGCAGAAAAGCCACACTCTGGCAGTATGTGGTAACCACAGAAAAGCAGCAGCTGCCCCATATGCAGAGTATCATAGTGAGGAAAGGATGGCATACACTGCACTTAAAAAATAGCCCACATTCAGTTAGTAGCAAAGGTTATAATAGGAAATGTTTTCCTTGTAGCAGAAGGGCAGTACATGACAGAAGTATACACTAACGCACGGAATACGCAGGAGATTTGGCAAGGTGGTTTGAAGTCTACTTTGCAAACCTTTTCCTAGACTCAAGCTTCTGTAACAATATTCCTCCTCAGGAGTGCAGCAAGCTATACAAAACAAGGCTGCTGCAGCCTGCTAAACAGAGGTTCTTTTTCAGCGACACCTACAAGAATGGCACAATCCCGACCTGCAATCTGAAATGTTAAAATGAATATGATCCCCTCCATCCAATTCATCTCTGGAGATGAGATAAGGTACCCTGTAATTACAGAAGGAAACAGGATGCTCTTTTTCTGTTCCTCTTTCCCAGTTAGAAAACCAGCCACAAACAATGAACACTTGAAAGGGGAAGTAGGGAACCCCCACAGCTATCCACTTTCCTCTCAATCTTAATTTTAAAATGGATTACAAGCCTAATGTTCCTCCAAAAACGCATTTGATGATATGTAAACATTTAGTAAGGCCTTTGTCTTACAGACTTTACAGCACTGGAGAAACATACTAGTGGAAAGCAAGACAGGCAGTGAATTGTGTCAGCTCAAGAGATGAGATTGTCAAGCCAGACAATTCCTCAATTCCTTGAAAGCAAAATTACTTTCTACCACTTACTCACACATTAAAGTGGAAACATTAACAACAAACCTTCCCAAAACAGAACTCAATTTGCAGAACAACATTTCTTCAGCACAAAACTAGCCTGAATATAATCAGTTTTACAATAGCTATAAGCCTTTTCTTTCAGAGTGGTCCTTTATCTGTCAGATAAGGAGCAGCTGGTATAAGTGAAATGCCTCAGGCTTTGTCAGAATTCCTACCATCACAGGCTTTGCTTTCTCACTAAAAGAGATTCACAATTACAACAATTTCAAAGGAATTTAGCATGGAGAATAGTACTGACTGCAAACTCCATTGCAATAGGGCTATAAATTTGCCAGTTTATGTGCTAACAGCACATAAGAGATGAAGGCAAAATAACAAATAAAACCATCTAAATGCTTTCAAATGCTGAAGCCAGTCATGATCTAGGCCCTCATGAAGGAACTACACACACAACATGGAAGGTTTCCAGGTAACTGATTTTATGTTTTTAAGGTTTATTTCAGTTGCATTTAACTAAGACAAACTATCAAATGTACATGAAACAGTAAGGACCTCCTAGCTAAAAAACAAACTTCTAACACCCTGACCAGAACAAAGAGGGATATGGGTGCTGCACCCCTTGGCACAGATACCAATGTGTAAGGGACTGAGTCTCCCATGCATTCATTTTTTAGCAAAGCCCACTGAATCATTCATCTTCTGTGTAGATGAAGTGCTTATAGGGAATGATAAGCCTAAGAAAAACTACACATTCATATTACCATTTTCTTCATAGAAAGACAATCTGAAATGAGAAAAAAAAATTATGAGAGAAAAATTGTTTTTAAAAGCTGGTAAAAAACTTGATTGAAGTTTTAGAAGTATGAACCAAAGAGGGAAAAAGACAGAAGATTCTCAGCTGCCACTTTCAGGAAGGTTTTGTGTTTGTTTTTAACAACCTGCTTTTCATCCAGCATAAATACTAGCTTCTGTAATGAGCTGTACTGGCAGTGTTGATTTTTTGATTAAACATGGAGTACAGATGGATACTGAAAGCCAAAAGCAGATGTTTAAATTATCTTCATAGCCCTGAGAATGCAACATTGCAGAAAACTTCCTGCATCTCTCTTTGATGTTACATATTCTCTGAACTACACTACCCTACCAAAAGTTAGTGCTCATCTAAAAAAAAAACAAACATTACACTCAAACAGTCTTCATGTTCACTGATGCTGCAGAAGGATCTCTGGGGAACCCTAAGACATATGCTGTTGTTTCCATATACCTCTTCCCTTACCAAATGAATCAGCTGTTTATCCATACCACTTACTGAGCCTGTTTAAGACAGACAGAACACTACTCGTATTTTTTTTTTATGCATAAGAGATACCTGATCTATCATAAACCTCAAATTTTAGGGTCTTCCTTTTTTCACTCAATTAGTTATGGAACAACACAGGGCAAGGTGGATTTTCATCAACCAATTACAAAAACACTTTAAAGTGTGTTATTAAATCTTCATGAGGATCATAGGTAAAGAATATACGGCATTAGGATTAGTGCCTGAAGAATCACACAAAACTTCCTGTTTTCACTGTGCATGGATTTATGAGCCTCATATTTGATTAAACTCTTTTTCAGGCTTGTACTGAGGCACGAAACTGATGACAAGTTTGTTGAGATTTAAGAATCTTTAGAAAGTTTCGCACAACCCGTCTCTGCAGCTGGGTTCTTGTTTCCCCTGGTTCATTCCATCTCCTTTCACATTTTATGACAGCATTAGAGATTAAGGAAATTATCTTAACAAATTCCAATGGCCTGACACAGGAGAACATCCTTTTTGCATTACTCTCTCAGATCATCTGAGATGCAAGGCAGCAAGAAAAACATGTAAAATTTGAACTCCTGCACGTCAAAGCAACAGAATTGATTCTGTTCCACTGTCATCAAGAACAAAACCCATACAGTTGGGTATTTCCCGCAAAGCAGGTTACAGGATAGCTGCACACGTACTATACAGAATAACCTTTAAAATCAATGAAAAAAGAGCATGGGAAAGTGTGTGGGAAAACTCTGTTCTTTACTTAAACATTAGTGCTAATGTGGCTAGTGGGATTCAAGACATTCCTAGACAGAAAATAAGTAAAAAAAAATATAAGATGGCCAAATGGAGAGGAACTTTACTGTCCGCATCTGGAAGAGAATAGCACTGTACACAAAAGCATGCAAAAGAACAGAAAAACTGGTTTTAAAAGGTCTTTATCTAGAACCACAAAGATGCAGCTACCTTAGGCAACCTTTCAGGGCGTTTTTCAACACACTACTGGAAGCACAGTGCTCACAGCTACTGATCACTGGCCACCAACTGGCAGTACAAACAAGGCTGGCAGTGGTTCAGGACATTTCTCAGAGACTAAAATTTCCCCTCTCAGGCAAAATCAGTAGTAAAAATGGCTGAGGCACAGACCTAGACACTACACACCATGTTATGACAGAAACATTTCAGTAAAGATGATAGAAAATGCAAAGGTAGATGCCGAGACAAAAAAGATGCCATGCCTTCATTCTTCTTGTGTTGCACCAGGACACATTTAAATATGGTTTCATGTGTGATAAGACAAAATATAAAATATTTTGGAAGATTCCTTCTGTCATATCCCAGTATTACTAAATATGAACTTGAAGCGATCTTTGCCAAAGCTAAAGAAATTAAAATGGTAGCGCATCACACAAGAACCTATGCAGACTTAAGAGCTTCAAACATACAACATTCTATCCCACCGACAGAAACGTATAGCTAGCAAATTGTGAGATCTGTACAACCTGACTATATAGAGGGATTATGCCTGAATGATTCATGTACTACTGAGGCCCATGAAATCTAGTACCTACTGAAATTTGTATTAGAACACTACTCCCAGCCATTAATTTTCTGCTCTGAATATTTGCCAATACTGAGCTGCAGGAATAAATACACTTAAAACCTTGTGCTGGGGTAAAATGAAGTTCCCCACAAACGGTAGCTGAGATCAAGCACGCAGCATTTTTTAAATTTTGCTGCATGCATGCAAGTGCTCCATAATCCTATGTAAATCTGAGCATTCAACTGAATTTAGAACATTTTGAATCATTAGTATTAATACAACCTACTCTTGCATCAGAGGAAATGAAAGTCCATTCTTACAAAACAGATCACTTCTGTTTTCTGAGTTCCTTAATGGCAAAGAAAGAAAAGGAAACCTCCATCTAATACAGTCACTGTGAATAGCTTTCTGCCACCATTTCTCCCAGAAGTCATATACATAATGTATGTTCTATTAACTAGTCACTTCATTGCTTCAGTTTTTACACTTTCTACCTGCTACTAGTTTCAGTCCTCACTTGTGTCACCTGAGACTGCGATCCTTTTCAAATTAATATCAGTTAATTTCTTCTTCTGAGTCTAAAACTTTTGCAGAGTAAACTGAGTATTTTTAGATAAAATACGAATTAACCTTGTGTGCCTTTAGAAATTGTTCAGTGTTCTACATTAATGTAGCATATTTTCAGAAAAATAAATCAAGAGTTTCCTGATGCGAAACGCTTACAAAAATGTCCTTGAAACTTGTGGGAGCAAAAGATATATTTATACATAATCTACATGGATTTTACACATGCGTATAAAATATATATATATCTCCTTGTTTTGTTTCCTAAAAGGGTTATTGTAGCAACTAAAGTCCTTCATCTGTGACAAAAGATAAAGTTAAGTTACACTAGTATTAAACTGAAGTTGTTCATGAAAAGCCAATCACACAGTTAATTCTACTTCTGTGTCCTAAATCTATGGCTGATAACAAAACACTTTTGTTAGCATCTCATTCTCTTTTGTTGTTGTTGTTGAGACCTTTTCACCATGCTATATAACCTCATACTAGCTGCGTTTTATTTTGCTTTTTTTCCTATGCATTCATTCTTCAGTCTTCAGAGTTTTGATTAGGATTCTACCCCAAAAGCTACACAAGTCCTCTGATGAGACCATCACATCACTGTATCTATGGAATTTGTGGACTACCATCAACCACATCTAGGCAACATCTATGAGCAGATAGAGTTGTTTTGAATAAACGAAAACACTCTCAGTGCATTTGTTGGCAGAGTTCCTGAATATGTTGCTATGCAAAGTGCAACAAGAAGCATGAGCCGTTACGCTTTGTTGGGTGAAAGCAGTGATACAAATGCAGATTAGAGGATACTTTGAGGAAACTCTGTTCTACTTTTGATAACACATTCGAAGGAAGAAAGAGATAAAGACAATTTGTAATTATTACAGTCCCTCTTTTCTTCCTCCACCAGCACTCACTGCAGAGGAGCACAGTTTAGTTTTAGCTTGACATTCTTGAAGTTATTTTTTACCAGATAACACTCCAGCTACCTAAACACTAGATATAAACAGTTCACACTGAATATGCTGGGTATATGTGCACATGCTTATATACACATGTACACACATGTTGCAATATATACTATTGCTGCATTGATGGAAGAATTTCTTGAAGTATTCCATGTAGTCCAGCCAACACCCAGGATTAACTGGTTTTACATATTAGACAATCTCTTAAGCCTCATCATATTTTAAAACAAATACATTAACTCCCACACAAAAGACACTTAGTACTTATGCTTAAAACAGAAAACAACTGCATACAAAGGGTGAGTAAAATCCTCCTATGAAATTAGTAAAATTTCATAACTAAGTAGCTAGATAGACAACAGCTTTTATTAAACAAGACACAACTCCCAGAGACCTAAATCACATCTCCAGAACTGCCAAATAAACACTCTCTTCCGCTGCTGGATATTCTGAGTACCAAAGTAGTTCTGTTTCCTGAAGAAGTCTTTGCGGTTGGCCCATTTAATGGAAAGGATGAGTAAGGCCGTAACATTTCAAAAAGGTAATTAAAATAATACATTCCTATTTTGAGGAGACCTTTTTAAATAACGACTGTAATTTTCCACTTGCCTGTGGCAGGCGCTCACGACTTAACCCATAGCACTTGAGTTTGCTGGACTGTAACAATGATCTCAGACCAATGCTCTGCACTGGCAGGAAGCAGGGGGCAGCAGAAAGAAAACAAACCAGAAAGACCCAGAAGCAGATTGCCACGCTCTGTGTTTATTGCCATCTTGCAGTGGCTGGTTGATTGCATCTGACTGAAAAGGAAAGCCAGAACATACAGGTTTTCCCAAAGATCTGCCACCCCACACACATCAGCTGACCTCTGGCTCTAGCCTTGAGCAGTAAGGGAAAGCTCTTGATATGCAGAGCACTGTGAGGCAGAGAAATGAGGGTAGCATGGAGTTTTTAGGAGTCCAGATAGGACATGAAGGGCCTATTTGCACCAGGAAACAAATTAAGCATATGCTAAATTACTGCATGGAAGCACAGGAAAACCTTTGGGCATTTCAAAAGCAGTTTAAAAACATGCGCTCTTAACACTTACATTTCATTTGCTTGAAGATGGACTTGTTGGGCTCAAGCCAGTGCTGGAAAGGCAAAGCAGAGAGCAGAGCTTAATAAGGATCACAGCAGACAACATCATCCTTGTAGATGTATGTGGTACCAAAAATAGGAAGTAGGGTTTTTGTTTCACTAAGACGTACATAAACTGGAAGAAGCACCTCCGTACTGTTATAATACTGGAATTGCACTGTATAAGCATACTTGATGTTACCACTGGTTATAAGATGTAGTTGAGATAAAAATAAGACATATTTCAAAGACAAATTTAAAGGAGACAGGCTCTAGTGATTAGTTTGCAGCAGACAATTCAGTCTTACACTTTCAGCCATTTTTTTTCCAGAAGAATGATCATATTGGACAGTAGGACAGACTATTCAGAAACATTAACATCGTCTGTTCATTAATGCTGTCTTCTACAGTTCTTATAACTAAAGCATGTGTAAGTACTGTATTCTCAGTCAGGACCCTCAGAACACAAGCTATTGTTCTTTTCTAGCAAGAACTAAAAATCTGAAGGGAAAAAGAGTGTACTTTTCCATGAAATGTTTACGCCTCGGACAGTCAATGCACAACAGAGGTATGGATGCCTGCCAGTTGGTGTATAACTTTCCAGGGAAAGACTGCAATGGCAGGAAAACTTCCATTTTTTTATTCTCCTGGAAAATAAACTCAGATGCCTCTGTGACAAAAATTTAGGCTCATATTTTAGTTAAGAGCCTTAGCACATCCCCCGCTAACACTAGCTGAACTGTGCACGAGGATGTTCTGATTGACAAAAGAACATGCTGATACTGGAGTGCCACTTCTGACCACAGCCAACAGCATTTGTACTAGGATTTTTCCTGTAAGCAAAAAATCTCCACACTAAAATGAGATTTGTGCTGCAGAAGCAGCTGGTCAAAAAGCATAGTATTCAGCTTTAATAAGCATAATCAACACTGGAAGGCCTTGCTCTAAGGGGTTTCATTTTTAACCCTTTTCATTCTAGCTCTAAAACTCTACCGTCTACTGCAAAAAGAAAACCTAGCATTTTTTAAACCATATGTAATACTTAAAATATCCTACCTCAGCTACTATTTTTCCTCATAACTTACAGTAATTATACGACACAGAAAGGCCAGGGGAAAATATTTTGTAGGAATTGTTAATAGGTGACACAAAATTATTATTTTAAAAATCATGACATCTCAAGAGTTCAGTCAAAATCAGGGGTAACTGTAAATTAGTTTCTGGAACAGAATTTCTGACAAAACAAATACCTTGGAAGGAACATTTTCAAACATCTGCAGCTTATATGCTATGGCCGCTCAGAAACTCCTGCATATAGTTTACAGCAATACTGGAGATAAGCACTACTATGTATTTCTGTTTGAAGCTCACTTACCACTGAGAGACTGATATGGAACCCTGGTACTCAAAAAACAAACAAAACAAAAACCCAACAATCCCCAAACTTCAAACAACAACACCAAAAAACAACCCCACACCATTTCTTCACCTATTCCCTCTCCCCAGTATCTCTCGTTTTTGGGGAGAAGAAGAAAGAAACAGAATTGAGAAAGCAAGGACTGTTTCACCAACTTACCAGAAATACCTAGTTCACTTAATTCTTTTTTAGATCACACAGATATATTATTTATACATTTTGCTCTGAATAATGGGGGTGAGAGTTGTTCATTAAAAGGTAAGACAATTTAAGAAATTTGATACAGTCTGCAGTACTTTATAGATACATAATCCAGAATGAATTCACAGATAGGAAACCAGTCAAGATACACAGATATGCAAGTTTACTTTCCTTAACCTCTTCACACGCCCACCCCACCTCCACCAGGATCAAGGTAGTCCCAGCTGAAGATTCAGACAGCAAAGAGAAACTTGGACTGCGAGCGTGCTGTACTGTTCCAAGGAACTGAGAGTTAAGAGGTATCTCACTATTTTCATCTAGCAGGAGCACAACACAACTCGTTTAATATTTCTTTTTGAAAAGCCAGGCTGAAATATTAGCACAGACCAGGTCAGCATTTACAACTGTTTGAAAAAGTCAATTACCTATTCTAACAAAAAATCAGAGGTAAAAAAAGCCAATCTGCAGATATGAAACCCTCATAATTCACCATACAAATAATGAAAAAGGGGAAACATGGATGAAATTCCTCACACAGTGCACCGGAACACCCATTTAGCTAACATGTCCAAAAGCAAACATGTTTCACTGAGACCTGACTTTCATGGGTTAAAAGTGGATTGAAAAGACACTAAGCAATTAAGCAGTCTAGACTTTCACTTGGAGGTCAAGGAACTGACAGGCAGTTTTTAGAAGCTCAGATTTCTGTGGTGACCTTCTGTTGGTGGAAGATTGCACACGTGTAGGCAATTCAGCTGAATCTTCCAGAAAACTGAGAAGTTACTTTATAATTTGTGGAGATTTTCAAAGACACAGCAATTAGGTGCTTAATGCTGAGTGTCAGAGGAAGATAAACACCTAGTCATTGCTAGTACTTGTGAAAATATCCACCCCTATATTTGTTTGCGTATTTCAATTTGAGTTTTAGGAAAGATTTTCCCCTGAGTACTTATCTTCCAGCCTTACAGCACTGACTATTAATAATTAATAACCATGCCTCATCTCTACTACAGTGTTCATGCTATATTTATTCCAAGATTAATTAGCTGCTATAGCTAGGACCAGATTAAGGTTCCTATAAATTCATTGAAGGGTTTCTGCAGGAATTTTCAGTTCAAAAGCATCTAGCTCTGCAAAATTCTTTTTCCACGTATCAGTCTTTTTTTTAACAATTTTGCTGAAAAAGAAAAAAAAATCCTCAGATGAAAGGAAACTATAACATTTTGAGTTAGCTTGTCAGGCCAAATTTTAAAAGCATTTTAAATCTTCAACTGCAAAAAATTTTCATTACTACTGTATGCCACAATGCCTTGCAGGAACAGACCATAAGTGTTTCCAATTCTTTCTTATAAGGCTAACGCCTCATAAGACAAATAAAACAGACAAACAAAACAAGTCAGACATAAACTTGGAACCAGGGACAAGAATCATTAATTTCTCTCATTGCAGTAAAATGTGCAAACTAGGGGAAGAAAAAAAACCCAACAATCTTACGTAGTTTCATTTTTGCCTCATGTATTTCACATTGTTGTCCATAAAGGTTGCTTTAATTGGATGATGGCCTACACCCTCAAACCAGCTTGGCTTTATATTTGATAGAACTTAACGATCATTGGAAATCGTTCCTGCAGAGGCTGAGCCTCCCATTTCCTTGATGGCACATTAGCAACACGGTTGTTGCCCAATGGAGAAGACTTTGATCCTAATCCAGCTAACACCAATTGCCAAGGATCCTGTGAGGAGACTCATGCTCAGCACTGCCAATTTCTAATCTCTTCTGCTGAAAGAGGTTTGGGTAGCAGCCGGGCATCTAGATGGTCAGGCAGAAATCCTCACAGAAGCAGAAGGGAGAGAGAAAGATACTTAGAGATCTTGGACCTTCAAGATCTCTAAGTATGACCTTAGTCATCAGATTGCTGCTGATTCTTGGTGCTTCAAGTGCCAGTGGTGAGTAAGCAAACTATTATGGATATCACTTTTGGTCCTGGGATCCTGAAATGTGCTGAGAATTGCCTTCTGACTAAGGTTTCATTGTGACTGCATGCTGTGTTTCAGACTAGTGCAATTTTTGCTTTGTAAATACAGCCCTTGCCTCTGATCGGCCTTTAAGTGGCACTGAGTAGTCATTAGCGAGGCCAGGTGTGTTCTTGCTTACCCACAAATGCTGAGCAGCTGACGTGCTACCAGCTTCCACAGCAAAAGCTCAGGATGAGCAAAGACACCATGCAAGGGTAAAAGCACCATTCTAGAAAGTCAATTTAACACCACAAACACTGATGTGCTTTTAGTAAAGACACTTCAGCCAACAACCTGTTTCAAATGAAGTAATTCACTGAGAAGCTCAGACAGGACTGAACTTGGTCTCAGTATAGCACAGGGTTAAGGGTTTTAGAATAAGAAGCGGGGAGGAAAGAGGATACAATGTCCCATATCTATTCTTACAGCCCTTGTAAGGGGTCAGGTGTCATTAGAATTCCCATACTGTTCTTCCTCTACATTGCAACAGCCACTCTACAAAGTGCAAAGATGTGTGCTCAAGTCTCCTTTTCCTATGGACTCCTGCATAAGACTGGCATAAACCAAAGCCCACCTCCTAAAAAACTGCCAAGCCAAAAGTAGGTGCTTCGGACCTGACTAACCAGAAGTTCAATGAATTCAGTGAAAAGTCTCTCCCCTCCTCCAACACAAGAGGCTTTTGATTTAGTCCCTGTGTTTGCAAGAGGAGCAGTAATGAAGGGGCAATCAAAAGTGGCCAAATGCTGTGAATATTTAAATCCCTGTTGGCAAGCAATACTCAGTCAAGTGTTCAGATGTGCATACAGCAAAACAGAATGAGAAGAACCTGCAGATGTCACAAGAATATTCCAGCCAGGCAAGGACTGGATTTGAAGACTTCGTTTAATGGACAGAAGAGAGCAGGAGAATGGAGATATGCACAGAAACACTGCTAGAAAAGTAATAAAATTAATTTTATTTAAACCTCACCCCTACATTAATCTTGAAAATTAATACCTAATCTTTTCCTTGAATGAAAAGCAAAATCAAAATCAATTTGCTTTAGCCTCAAGGCAGTGACTTGCAGCAGGTCACTGCTGGCCAAAACTCAGGCTCAAAAAAAAAATAGTAACAGTATCCAATGCTAATGGCAGCTCAGACAGGGGTATTAATTGGGTGCCCACTCTATACCAACCCAACAGACACCAAATAACCCAGGGCACCCTGCATGTCTCCTTCTTCATGCCCTGAGGCTGACACCATTTTTTCATGCCTTCAAAACCCTCTATACCAAGAATATTGATATCGTTCTGTTGCAGCAAAGGAGCTGTTCCTCTGTACTGTTCTCAAAACCAGGGCATCGGC